GGACGATAGGGTCGGGAAACGACCTTGTCGTGGGCCGGCGCGTCCGGGGCTGCACTCCTGCGGCTGCAACCGCCGCCGCCTGCTCCGTCGCTCATCCTTCCTGCTTAGCGCGATCGCCGCGTGTCGCGAGGACGGGAGGAGGAGGAGGAGGAGGAGGAGGAGGAGGAGGAGGAGGAGGAGGAGGAGGAGGAGGGGGAGGGGGAGGGGGAGGGGGAGGAGGAGGAGGAAGATTCAAGCATCGCTTTCTCATACTATGTTCTATCGTTCTCCGCAGCAGCACGCGCTTGCGTGCCAATGCCCCTCTCGGACCAGGCCGCCCGGCATTTGCTCGCCTGGAGTCGGAACAAATGCGAAACATCACAACAACTCGACCAAAAATCCTTGGGTCTCAAATCTCCTGGAAAGACAAGCGGAATACTCACGACGCCTCCGCGTGAGTGCAGCCGGGCTGCACGGATTGGCCTACCCACGAAGCGGATCCTGAGCAGCACGGCCGCAAACTCTGAAACTCCGAACCTCGATGGAGACGAGGGTGACACCCAACCCCCTGACGTCGCGATCTTTTTGCACCGGAGAGCAAGAGGTCAGCAGAAAAATCTTGGCTTCCTGGATGGGTCGGAGTAGATGGGGTCGGAGGATCGCGGCGCATCGCCGATGCATCGGGGATATGGCGCGATGTGGAGTTCGATTTCTCTATGCCGACATCGCCGATGCATCGCCGACGTCACAAAGGCATCGTCGACGGCATCGCCAAAGGCATCGCCGATGCATCGGCGAATTGCGCCGCGATCCTCCGACCCATCAATTCTGACCCCATCTAAGAGGAGGAGGAGGAGGAGGAGGAGGAGGAGGAGGAGGAGGAGGAGGAGGAGGGTCCCCTGGGGCGAATCCTCATCCCGAACCCTCTCTTGACGGCCCGAGCCGGCCCCGCGGTGGCCAGCAGAGGCCCGAATCAAAACTGCCATAGCCATCATCTGCCCCTCGAGGCTTCTTTTTTAAAGGGAAATTAGGACACACAAAAATACACACAAATAAAAATAGTCCCCATATTTTCCCATACTTTCTGGGTTTTTGTCTTCCCCCACAATTCCCATGTTTTCCCATATTTTCCTGGGAATCGAGGATTAATTGTGTCTGTGTGTTTTTTTCCCTCCTGATTTTTCCACGACGCGGGGAGGTCTGGCTTCTGGGTCGCAGCTCGAAGAACTTCTGGCGGCTGCCCCCGACCCGAGGTGCCCCCCCCCCAGCTTTTCGCTCCATGCTGGAGCCCCTGGGGCCCTCTGGGCCTCGTGCAGGGTGCTCTGGAGGCCTTGGTTTCAGTATGCATGGGGGGCCAGGTCTAGAGGGTCGGGGCGCAGGGCGCTCGGGACGCGTACCACTTTCTTGTTCAATCTGCAATGTCTGTTTGGGATCAAGTGGCCGCCATCGGCGACGCGCCGACACCTCCAAAGTTGCACCGACGACCAGAATACAAAGTTGTCAGAGAGGCAGGAGGCATGGCCCAGAAACATAATAGTCAAGCCTTGGTGGCCTCCTTGGACATCCTGGGGGCACCTTGGGCCCACTTCTAGCAATACCCGACTGCTCGGGACGACTCGGGCACACCCTGAAACGTTATCGGCGAGGCGCAGCCGCCAGAAAGCATCCCCAGGCTGGAAGACATGGGAAACCGACGAACACGTCAGACACTATGCTCAAAGTAACTCTTGTGTGTATGTGTGCGTGGGTGTCTGCGGATCTGGTTATCTTGTGCACCACCCGTTCTAACTCCACTGGGCTCTGGGGCTTCATCGACGATCCTCATCGTATCAGCGTTGCCCCCACCAGGGCGCAGGAGGGAGCAGTCATCATGATAAACGCGCGGATGATCGCCGCCGCTACCGAGTCCCACCTACACCTGCTCGCAGGATGGGCAAAAGCCGCTGGGCTCTCAACCTGCTTTAAGGCCGTCCTGGGCAGACGCAGCTCGTTACGTGAGGCTGCCAACTTCCCCCCCGCCCAAGTACGGGATGCACCAGAAAACACACACACACACAAGCACATCCCGGCCCCCTCTGAGGAAGAGCAAGCCCAGCTTTCGGCCGAGCAAGAGCGTCCCAGACGATAGTAAGTCGCAGCGGCTAGCCGAGCAGCGAGCTCTATGCTCTCAGACGCTGTATGACTCGACTCCCCGCTCCCCCCTGGGCACAGTTGGGATGGGCTGAGCGAAGACTTGCTGGAGACGGCCACAGCGGTCCTGAACGAAACCGCACTTACCATCGGGTGGAATGCCATCTGCGACCAGGAGTCTGGACCCCACTCCGCCAAAGACACCCAGCGTCACAACTCTGAATTCTGCCAAGGAATTCTTACATGACCTCAGCGAGGTCAACTACGACGTGCGCAGACTTTGCTGGAAGAAAGGCATACCAGTCGATTGGCACGCTGAGTGGCATCGCGAACTTGACAGGCGGAGGCGAAGCTCTGAGCTCGCGAAACGCAAAGGGAAGGGTGCCCCGCC